ATCTTTCACCAAACCTGGAATATAGTTTCCCAAATCTCAGACATAACAGGGGTTGATTATGATTAGTCTGATGCAATGAACTCTGCACATGGGCAGATATTATTACTTCACATTTTCAGGATCGAGCCATGTGTTGCAAACACATTCCAATGTGTCCAGGCTCAGATAAAACAATTGCCAGATGTTCTCACAAGTGCAGCTACTTCATGTGGGTAGGGTTGGGTTCAATAAACTACACCTGCAAATCACTGGTGGTGGTGAAGAGTCTGCCCTGAGGAAAGCCATTGGGGCAAAAGAGGCCTCCACAAGGAGACAGTGGGTTCCACTCCTTGCCAGCAGTTTTTTGCAAGAGGAGCTGTCACATCCTGCCAGGGATCATGCTGGATTTCACAACCACACCCACACAAAGTGCGAGTCCCTGATTCCTGGCCAGCTTTTTAAAGCTTCACACAGCACGCCGAGCTCCCAACATGGCTTCTCCTGACCATATGAAGCAGCCATGGCATAGGGTGAGCAGCAGTGGCTAAGCCAAGTCAGAGAAGAATTTAAGGTTTTGCAGCACTCACCAGCCAGTGTGGTATAGTGGTTAAGAGCGGTAGACTCGTAATCTGGGGAACCGGGTTCGCGTCTCCGCTCCTCCACATGCAGCTGCTGGGTGACCTTGGGCTAGTCACGCTTCTTGAAGTCTCTCAGCCCCACTCACCTCACAGAGTGTTTGTTGTGGGGGAGGAAGGGAAAGGAGAATGTTAGCCGCTTTCAGACTCCTTCGGGTAGTGATAAAGCGGGATATCAAATCCAAACTCTTCTTCTTCTCTTCTTCTTCTTTGAAGCAAACATCACAAGCTTCTGAAGTTTTCTGAAGGATGAAAGGCCATAGCTCAATGATAGGACATCTGCTTTGCAGGCAGAAGGTAAAAGGTAAAGGGACCCCTGACCCTGTACCTATTTATCTACTTGCACTTTGATGTGCTTTTGAACTGCTAGGTTGGCAGGAGCAGGGACCGAGCAATGGAAGCTCACCCCATCAAGGGGATTCAAACCGCCGACCTTCTGATTGGCAAGTCCTAGGCTCTGTGGTTTAACCCATAGCGCCACCCGTGTCCCTTGCAGGCAGAAGGACCCGAGTTCAATTTCCGGCATCTCCAGGTAGAACTTGGAGAACTTCTGAAACCGTGGAGAGCTGCTGGCAGTCAGTGAAGACAATACTGAGCTATTCTCAAGCACTTCAGAAGTGCCACACTATGATATAGTCAGTCACACTTCCTTTGTTTTTGTGTAGAAACCCACTCTAGCAGTTTCATGCCATGTGGGTTGGTTTTCTTATCCAAGGAGTGGTGAGACAATGGGAAGATGTCTTGCAGGTCTGTTACCGCGAGGAGTACGGTTCCCTCCATTTTGTCTCCGAAATGTGCATTTAAGTCCCTGCAGAGTAAGATATGAGCATGGGGAAAATTCAAATAAATTTGCTCCAGGGGAGCTAGATGGACCAATGGTCTGAATTTTTGTTGTTGTTGTTTAGTCGTTTAGTCGTGTCTGACTCTTCGTGACCCTATGGACCAGAGCACGCCAGGCACTCCCATCTTTCACTGCCTCCCACAGTTTGGTCAAACACATGCTGGTAGCTTTGCGAACACTATCCAATCATCTCTTCCTCTGTCTTCCCCTTCTCCTTGTGCCCTCCATCTTTCCCAACATCAGGGTCTTTTCCAGGGAGTCTTCTCTTCTCATGAGGTGGCCAAAGTATTGGAGCCTCAGCTTCAGGATCTGTCCTTCCAGTGAGCACTCAGGGCTGATTTCCTTCAGAATGGATAGGTTTGATCTTCTTGCAGTCCATGGGACTCTCAAGAGTCTCCTCCAGCACCATAATTCAAATAATAAGCCAGATTCCTATCTTCCTAAAGTCAATATTCCTATCTTCCTAAAGTCCATATCTGGGCCTGAGCTATGGGAGCTTCACTGGCATCTCTATGCACAACAAAGTTACCTTGATGGAAGGAGATTCCACTATATCTTAAGGTAACATTAGCATGGAAGCTGCCTCCCGCCCCGCCGACTGCAGAACATGAAATACCACCTGTGTTGTTTTCTTACTTCGCTGAAGTTCTCCAGCAGTGTCTTCCCCACCCCCACCCCAATGTTTCCTGCACCGTGCATTAATCTTTTTACCCATCTCCTCCATTAGTGGTTCCATCAAGGTTACTTTGCTTCACTGGGACTTCATCATTCATGTGCTGAGCTCGTCCATTCGCCTGCAGAGATAACATTGCAAGGCCAAAGGAGTGCTGAAAATAAGTGCAGAAGGGAACTTATCCAGAAAATGCCTTCAGCAACAGCAGGCGTGGGCTACGCGATATTTTTCAGCAGCCCCGTGAAAGTTGAACAAGATAACAACAGCAACAACGAGAAAGAACATCTGCATATTATAAGAAGGGGAAGAACCCTGGATACGGTTCAAGAATTCAAGAATCAGACCACTACATTTTAGAGTTCTTGGCAGCAGAAGTTAATAACCCAGCAGCTTTTGTACTGATTGTGCCTTTTGACTAAGTCCTGGTGAATATAAGCTTGTTCTCCTTGAAGAAATTAATTTGACGTTTCTAGCTAACGTTCTGCTGGACTTAATTCAGTTTGGATTCCCTTCAGGCACTATTGGCAGCAGAGTTCTTATCTCTTTTCTCCCTGATAGAAGAGGCAGGAGTTCAACAGGCATAGCTTTCCAAGCATCACACAGTGATACAGAAAGTTGCATTTGTTGGTTTTCTGCTTGTAATACATCTGTTAAAAGGCACGGAACCTCAGTGGTGGAAGGCAGGGTGTCAGTACTCAGTGACACTTTGGTCCTTAAAGGAAGTTAACTAGTTTGGCTCGTTCAGTCCATATTTGTAAGATCTGCTCCAAGGATGAGGAGCATGCAGTTCTTCAGATGCTGTTGGATTCCAGTTGCCATCATCCCTGACAACTGACCATGCTAGCAAGGGCTGCTGGGAGTTGTAGTCCAACAACATCTGGAGACCATCAAGTTCCTCAGCCCTGGTCTACATCAGTGTTTCCCAAACTCGGCCCTCCAACTGTTTTTGGACTACAACTCCCATCATCCCTAGCTAGCAGGACCAGTGGTCAGGGATGATGGGAATTGTAGTCCAAAAACAGCTGGAGACCCAAGTTTGGGAAGCACTGGTTTACCCCCTGACTTTTCAGATTAGCATGGGTGGGGAAATTTCACCAAGTGTAGTATTGTGTTTGTTTATTTATAATGAAAGCTGATAGGTTTCATGAGGCAGCTTATCGATCATTGCTATAAAAATGGTAAAACGGTAAAATGAGCAATATAATGCAAGAAGAAATACCAATAAAAAAACAGCACATCTTAAATGGAAACAACCGAATCTACATATGTAGAAACACGTTCAAAGAAATGACATAAAGGTCTTCCGTAATCAAAGGATGCTTAAATGTGTACAATGAGGAAGCTTCCACAGGGAGTGAGTTGCACTGTTTTGGTGCAGCTGCAAAAAAGACCCTGACGGACTAGTTGCTACCAAGCAGGTCTGGCTTAAAGGTGGGTCAGGCTTCCTTCTCCACTCCTAGCCCAACATGAAGGTGCCGGAGATAGAAAATGGACATTTTGCATGGCTGAGATGGCTCTGGAAAACCTGGGAATCTGGGAAAGAATGTTTCAAGAGCATTTGTTGTGGTTAGTTTTAGTACTAGAAATATAGCTGAGAAACCGCATCGTACCAGTGTCAGGGTAGGACCAGGCCAAAGTAAGTTCGAAATTTGCACTCGTTCATGAAGCTCACTGTGTGAAATCAGGCTAGTTGCTTCTAGCATTTCTCACAGGGTTCTTGAAAAGATAAAATGGCGGCTGCCAGAATTTCAGCCTGAGCCTGCCAATCAGATCACATTGACCTTGCACCTATCACACTGATTGCCAATTGGCACAGTTAAAAATTTAAAAAAACAACAACTTGCATGTACAAGGCCGCCTTCAGATGTCTTCTAAAGGTTGTATAGTTACTTATCTCCTTGGCTCGTGGGCCGCATAACTCCGTACTCCCTCCAACATTTCTCTGATGAAAACAGGGATGTCCTAAGGAAAAGCTGGACCAGATCAGACACCGGAACAGCTTCTGCAAATCTGGATCTGTCCCTGGAAAACAGGGACACTTGGAGGGTCAGTAAGCCTGTGTGGATTTTAAACTTCTTGCATGTTTGTTTGTTTTATTGGGCTTTGCTTTATTTATTCATTTGATTTTGAATTTTTCTGCACTGCAAGCCATCTTATCTTTATTTGTAGAAAGGCAGGACAGAAGAATAAAAGAAAGAGAGGAAGGAGGAGGTTCTGTCTTCTGTGTCCTTCTTGAAGGTACTGGAGACAAAGGCCAATCCTATGATGCAAAGGGCGACCACAGATTCAGATACAACCGCAGTCATGTAGAAACCTTTACAGCGTTTGCGAAGCACCGTCTGCCCCCCCCCCCCCCAAAGATGTGACAATGTGTGAGTGGGAATCTGAAATGTCTGGGAAGCCGGCTTATTGCAGAGCCGTAGCCTAAGTGTTTGGCAGTGCTCCACTGGCTTACCATTATCAGCTGAGGGCCCGGCCCTTTGTGCCCAGATGCAAAAGGTGGAACCAAATCCATGCCCATTTGACTGCTTGAGTTCAAGCCACTGTTTGCCTGCCTGGAGGAAGATAATTTGTCAGGCACCAGCTGCTCTTTCCTCATGGGCACACTTGTTATTATGTTACAGTGCGTGTGAAGAATGTTTAACGGCGGTGGAGTGAGAGGGGGAGAGAAAAAATATGACGACTGCATTTGCACAAATAATCTGCAGAGCCTTCTCTTTCTCTCTCTCTCTCTCTCTCTCTCTCACCACTCCCAGACGCAAGAACCTGATATTGCCACAAATCACTCTGCTGGCTGAGGAGCTCTCGTTCTGGAAATATTAGCAAAAGGGGAGGGTTGTGGGGAGCTGGGAGTTGTTTGGTGGCAGCTATCACAGCGCAGCGGACAATGGAAATATGCTCCTGCCTTGCCTCTCCTTCTCCTACGTCCTCAAAAAAAAGATAGAAAAAGGGAAGAAGTGTTCCTTGGGAGAATTTCAATGGGTAGGTTTCTAGAGCGACACCATGTCTAATTACAGACAAGGTAGGAATGAAAGGCTGTAGGCCTCTCTCTCGCTTTCTCTCTCTCCAGGTCAGGAGGAGGCTGGTGGAGGGGGAGAGAGAGAGATGTCCTCCGAATAAGAAATGAACAGACTGACCTTTTCAGAGCTGCTGAAAGAGAAAACCAGATGTATTCCTCAAGAGTCACTATGACTGAAGGGTGATAAAGACTTTCATTGTGCACTTGAATAAAAGGAAAGCTAACCAGAAAACAGCAGCTGATAATAGTCAGGCCAGGCTGCGCTATTGTGCAAGCCACAACTGTTCCCGCCTTGGCCTAGACCACCACGGCTTGCCTGAAGACTAGGTTGTAAAGAAAACGGGCTCCCCTTCCCCCCTCGGCCCTGCCCTCTCCTAAGAGAGGTTTTCAAGAAAGTACTAGCAATTATACAAGCATCTATCGATGCTTCCCTGCAGTTTTAAAGAGCTTTGCAGGGATCTCCAGCTTGCTTTTTTTTATAAAAAAAAAAGGTTCTGTGAAGCCTCAGTTCTGAAATTCTCCAGGCCCCCAAGTCAAGCTGTGGTAGTGAGTACTTTTCATTTTTAATTTTCGGCCATGCTAATCCACCCAGAGATCCCCGCGTGTTGCGCTTGCGTCTGCCACCTCTGTGAGTTTTAACATTTCGGGTGACCGGGAAGAAAAACGGTTCAAGGATGGAGTCCATTGGTTCAGAAGGAGAAGGGGAGCCTCTGTGAGTTGAGACAATGCAACACAAAGAGAAAAACGTGTTTGGAAGGAAGGGCACGAGCGATTGGTGCATAGACAGGGCTGCACGACTTTTTGACGCAGGACTGTTGTCAGTGGAAAGTATGGAGCGGTTAGCATCAAAAGGGGCAGAAGATGGCAGGCACAAGGCTGCTAATGGAAGTTAAAAGGAGGCAGGATGAACGTTGCTGCCTTTGGGTGCTTGCTGTGAGACAGAAGGCACATCTGAAGCTCTATTATTGCTCTTGCTTTCCTGGATTCCACCATGTTTGTTTTTCTCCAGAAGAAGACATCTTCCCTGGTCCCCTCCCCAGCTAGCATTGGTCATAGCTGAAGGTGAGGCTATCAGAGGGAGATAGGTCCCATATCTGAGGCCCAACCCAATGGGAGGTGAATTGTGCCTTTGCATTTAACTGACACTTCTTTGAAAACTATTTCATTTATTTATTCCATTTGCAATACAGGTGGTGACCATTTTAGATGCATGGTGTTATGTATTAAGATTAACTGCAGTTCTCACTCAGGGCCACCAGTATGCAAATGAAGGGTTGAGAACTGTCGCTCACTGATTGGTTACTTAGTTGGAAGTTGTTACTGTTACAAGTTGCTTAATATTACATAAAACAGCCAGCTAGGCTGCAGTGTGTCAGACTCCAGGAGCAGTTCTAACTGCTGTGATAAAGAGCTGTGAATCTAACAGAGCTGTGTTCTTCATCCATCTTTCCCACTATTTAATACATTCCAATTGATGTGTGATCACCAATGTGTGGGTCCTTTCGAACCCGGAAGAGTGGGGGACGGGGCGGAGTGTAACAGGGCAGGGGCGCTTATGCACACGGACCGGGAACAGAACTCCCATGCGAAATGGTTACCACCTGTATAAATACACAAAAATACCATAGAAACAAACACAATAAGTCCTCCCCCCTACACACAGTTTCAAAGGCCTGGGAGAAGAGGAATGTTTTTGCCCGGCACCTAAAGATATGAAGGGACACAGGTAGCGCTGTGGGTTAAACCACAGAGCCTAGGACTTGCTGATCAGAAGGTCAGCGGTTCGAATCCCCGCGACGGGGTGAGCTCCTGTTGCTCAGTCCGTGCTCCTGCCAACCTAGCAGTTCGAAAGCATGTCAAAGTGCAAGTAGATAAATAGGTACCACTCCGTTGGAAAGATAAACAGCGTTTCCGTGCGCTGCTCTGGTTCACCAGAAGCAGCTTAGTCATGCTGGCCACATGACCTGGAAGCTGTACGCCGGCTCCCTCGGCCAATAAAGCGAGATGAGTGCCGCAACCCCAGAGTCGGTCACGACTGGACCTAATAGTCAGGGGTCCCTTCACCTTTAAAGATATGTAATGAAGGCGCCAGGTGAGTCTCCCCGGGGAGAGCATTCAGCAAATGGGGAGCCACAGAAGAAAAGGCCCCTTCTATCGTTGCCGCTTTCTGGACCTCTTGTAGAGGGAGCACGTGAAGAAGGGCCTCAGCTGATGATCACAGGGTCCTGGTCAGTTCATATGGGGTGAGGCGGTGCAGCTACATTTTTCTGTGGGGAAGTCTGCTTGTTTTCACCCCCACCCACTCCTGTCTTTCAAATTCTGCCTTAGCCAAGAGGATTTAAAACAAACTGAACAAATGAGGATGAAGAGCAAAGGTGACGTGGACAGAAGATGGTTACCTTTTCCTCCTATTCTGTGGTCCTGGGGAAAACCTCTCCTCTGAAGCTAGTATCTGCATTTGGCAGGGAAACTGTATTGACAACAAATCCCACTGCTGCAAAAAATCATCAGCCCTTCCTCAGAGAATGCTGCATGATTTATTTATTTTTCTTTCCTAAAACGTGTGCACTAAATACCATGACACATTTAACACCATGTCTGGTTTGGTCCTGAGGCCATCAGACTGTGGGGGAGGATGCAACCCAGCAGCCACCCATTATGACACTGGCCACCAGGTTCACAAGAAGCTGCTGCTGTCATGCTTCCATTTTCCAGTTTGAGAGTTGGGCTCATGTACCCTGCTCCCCATTTATCTCATTTCAGGGGATGAATATACTTTGGAAGGGGTGCATGTGAAGAAGCAACTGTGCTGTACTGTTCTCAAGTCTTGAATGAATATTGGTTGGACCTGGGGAGCATTGGAGGGGTTTGGGTATTTGGGCAATATATGGAAGAAGTTTATTGGGAGGAAGATACTAGACTGGAGTTCTTATTTTAAAACAGGTGGTCAAGAGAGTGGAAGAGGCAGCTTCAGGAAGGATGAAGAAATGGTATGAAAAATCAGTTTGAGAAAACATTAAAATATTGCAAACCTCCAAGCTTTGGGTATTAAGGCAGCTTAAATAAATAAATATCTGACATGGCAGAACTTCTCAAAAGTAGCATGTGTCAAATGTGACTTCACCATCTTAGATTGGCATCCGTTGGAGCTGGTTATTTTTAGAATTGGCAAGATAAGCGTCTTTCCATCCATCTCCATGTGGAGGTCTATTCTAGCTTTGTGATCATAGCAACAAGGAAATATTCACATATTTCAAGTTGTGTATTTTATATTATAGAAATAAATAATATAGTGGCCAGGGATGCAAGAGGACACTTGATTTTATAAAGTTGTTACTTGGTTATATACATTCCGTGAATCGTTTGTTGAATGAAACTTTTCCTAAACTGTGCTAGTTTAAGCTGCAGGTGACAGAAACATAATTCTGATTGCTCCTGGCCATCAATCCCTACACAGTACATGTGAAGGAAGAAGCTGGGCTGAACTCTTCTTCCTGACACGCTAGTTTTCCACACACAGGAAAGGTCATGTTCTAAAGTACATCGTTCACACAGATCAGACCTTGACCCAGGTCTACTAAGCCTCAACATCACCCCATGAAGACTGAATAAACATCATAGAGGGAGATTATAGTGGGAGATAAGATGAATTTAAAAAAATGATTCCGTTATTAACCTGTAACCCCAGGGTTTCCTTGCAGATAGTTTGAGAACCACCAGGTTGGCACACTGAGAATTACAAGACAGATGCAAATAATTCATTGTGCTGCTCTGCAATCTCCTTATCCTCCTTAAGCACACATTTTACTCCCTTCTCATCCATGGTTCCAATTGTCACTCAAGATGGTATACTGCAATTAATATATTTTTTATAATTATGGTTTGCCTTAATCTTTTGAGTAATGTGCTCCTGGAATTCTTTTTTAGCATCTCTTGCTGTCCGCTTGCACTTTTCTGCCAAAGTTTGTGTTCCTTTTTGTTCCCTTCATTTGGACAATACTTTTTTCTTTCCTGGATGGTGACTCACTTTTTAATTTTTTTAAAATGCCAAGCACATAAAGCTGAAGGCACCAAATGCATGCAAGTTGTGAGGCTACTGTATACACTTCACTTGAGCTTCTGATATTTGTGCTTTTAAACAGCTCCTAATCATTTGGGGGTGATTTGACCCTAGCTGTCAACTTACAGATTTGAAAATAAGGGACCGGCAGCCTCGAAAATAAGGGATCAGCAGCCAAAATAAGGGATCAACAATTACTTTGATAAAATACATATTTTGTTGCGTGCAAATGGCTTTAGATACCTATTAGGTCCATAAATTACCATATAGCATATATTCAACAAAAAACAGCAACAATTTGTTGTTGACAAAGCACAGCTGGACATAGAAAGGGCCCCATTACCTTCAGTAGCTTATTTAAGGGACATCATCAATAAGGGACAGCAGCGTGACATGGCGCTGGGATAAGGGACTGTACTGCCAAATAAGGGACACTTGACAGCTATGGATTTGACCCTTTGACTTTGCATCTCTAGTTCCTTTTTACCAACGTCCTCATTTGGGGGAAATTTCCTTTTTTTAAAAAAAAAAGTCAGAAGTGACCATGCTGGATGTTATTGGCAATTGGCCGTTGACATGTACATTTAGTTTAATATCACTATGCTTACTGCTCCCAATTGGCTCAACAACTTGACACCTCACACCAGGCCCTGAGTGTGTCACTCTAGATAGGTCCAGGATTGCGTCTTCTCTGGTCGGTTCCAAAACCATCTGTTCTAGGGCACAGTCATTTCACATATCTTTATCATAACTGGAACAGATATGTATCTGATCTATGTGAGGCTAGCTGAAGTCACCCACAACCAGGGCTTTTTTTCAGCCAGAACTTGCTGGAACTCAGTTCTGGCATCTCTCAGGTGGGTACCATTGCCATTCTCAGGGAACAAGGGAGGCTTTCATGGTGAGTTCTGGCACCTCTTTTTCTAGAAAAATAGCACTGATCATAACGATAACATTTTCTCTTTTGGGTGTGTCCTTGGTTTCATTCTTCATTAAGTCTTCTCTCCTTTGGAAGCTACTATTCATCCTGGAACAAAGTTGACATTGGTACCGGTGATTCATGTTGGTTCAGTGTGCAACAAGAGGCTGCAAATTCCTTCCTTGTTGTTGTTGTTTAGTCGTTTAGTCATGTCCAACTCTTCGTGACCCCATGGACCAGAGCACGCCAGGCACTCCTGTCTTCCACGGCCTCCTGCAGTTTGGCCAAACTCATGCTGGTAGCTTCGAGAACACTGTCCAACCATCTCGTCCTCTGTCGTCCCCTTCTCCTTGTGCCCTCCATCTTTCCCAACATCAGGGTCTTTTCCAGGGAGTCTTCTCTTCTCATGAGGTGGCCAAAGTATTGGAGCCTCAGCTTCAGGATCTGTCCTTCCAGTGAGCACTCAGGGCTGATTTCCTTCAGAATTGATAGGTTTGATCTTCTTGCAGTCCATGGGACTCTCAAGAGTCTCCTCCAGCACCATAATTCAAAAGCATCAATTCTTTGGTGATCAATCTTCTTTATGGTCCAGCTCTCACCTCCATATTCCTTCCTTAGACTCTGCATATTCACATGGATTTATTTTCTTTACCTTTCCAATGGGGTTCTATCCAGTTATAATAGAGTTTGATGATGTATGATCTCCTCTTTTTTTAATTGGGAAATGGATCCAGCCTTCAGGGATGCCATGAGTGAGGCAAGCACCTTTTGAAGTCAGCAGTAATGCAGAAGCAGTCCTTGCAAGAAAAATGTTAGAGTGGTCCTCTCAAGACCATTGCAAGTGATGTTAAAGGACCTTGAGAAACATCTTGCCATTATCTTCTTCAATGGCTTTTTTATTTAAGAAGTTAACTTTTCCCAGTCTAGCATAATAACAAAGCTGCCATCAGAGAAATTTTCAGAAGTTGGTGTTGGAAGCAATATTTGATCTGTAAATGCACACAGAAATGATCAATAATTTCATTAGAAAGAGGCAAAAGGCTAGCATAGCAGAGCTCGAGAAAATGGCCCTTAGTTTCTTTAATGCCTTTTTTGTTACATCAAAGTACAAAAACAGCTAAAAGGGAGGGAAGCAGCAAAAATAGTTAAACAAATTCATTGTTAAGCTGCTATGTGACCAAGAACTTAGCAAAATAGAACTTTCTGTTAAAAGGAGTAACATGGCATTGATTGTCAGAGATTTGTGCACCAGGTTTCTTTTTTAAATCTCATTTATTTTATACTCTTCTTCCAAGGAGTTCAGGGCACACATGATATTAATCAGAGGTGCACATGAGCCCAAAGATTCACCTTGTATATGTATGTATCTGTACCTTTTTTAAAAAATAATAATAATCCAATATGTTTCTGAGTTGCTCTATTTTCTCTCCGCTTTAATCTGTAATTTGAATGCCAAGATGGTCTGTATAAAAACAAAGTTCTATATTCTGCATTCATGACAGTGGACTACCTAAAAACGGCTACAGCTTTCCCCCTTTTGTCCAAAGTGGATGGAATTTAAAGGCATAGGAGCCCCTCTACAGCGGATTAAGCCAAATGGGTCTTTCTGCTTTTTCTCGGTTCTCTGGAATGCAAGGAATGTACCCAGATGCCTTTCATCACAAAATGTGCTCAAGCTATAAGAGGTACCTTGTTGGCTTAAGTCATAGGTGGGCAGACTTTTAGGCCTCAAGGGCCAGGGGCAGAGACGTCTGGGCACCTGGGGGCCACATGCCAATGGGCATGGCCAGAGCTAGCCTTGCCCACACACATGCTCACGTTAACACTAATTCACACATGCACATGTGCACACTCTCACACACAGAGAGAAGGATGCTCAGGGATGACTCTCTTCATGTGCTTTTCTCACCGACATTACTGTGCCACCTCCAGCTATTTGGCAAGCAGGTGGATTTAAATGGGGAGAAAAAAGTGTGGGGGTGACCCTCTCCAACACAACATCCATCCCAGATGCTCCTTTTGAGGTGGTGGTCGAGGCTCTCAGCCCTGATTGGTCACTAGCTCAAGGGCTGCAAAGGGCATTTAGCAGCAAGGGAAGCAGCCTCAGTAGCCCTCAGCAGGCAGCCAGGGGGTGGTGACCAGGGGGAACTGAGCAGTGGAAGGTGGCTTGGCCACATGTGGTCCATGGGGTGCAGGTGACTCATACATGGTTTAGAGGGTCCCAAAAATGTGCTCTCTTTAAGCCTAGGTCTCCTGTCCACAAGATCTTTCTCTGTTGTTAATCACACTGCAGCTGCAATCCTGCCATTTAACTTGGAGGAAGTGGACTTCTTGGACTTCTGAGTAGACATCAGTAAGTTTGCACTGTGAGTCTCTCGCTGTCTTGCTCTTCCTCAGGTGGAAACACTAGCATTCTCAAATTGCCTTTCAGCATATTTCATTTCTATTTCCTTCCTGTTTACAGCTCCTTGAAAAGACTGACATTGAAATATTTTATTTGCCTCTTATTCTCTCCGCCATCTCTCATGTGTGTTAGTTGCTGGGGGTTTTTCCCTCTGAATATGATCAGGCTTTTCTTTTCTTTTTAAGGTCTAAAAAGGATGATTGAAGCATATGTCTTCTTCTTCTCTCTCTCTCTCTTTTTTAGTAAAAATTGCATGGCTTTTGCATTTTCTAAATATGCCCCTGAATCAAATATTGTCTTCAATAACCTGATTGGCAGGAAAAGCGAGAGAAAAGCATTGCACAGAGAGTGCATTTTGAGCATTCGTAATTCCTTAAATGTGCAAAGCCGTCTCTTAGGTTTAGGAACGTAATTCGTGCTTCTAACATTATTGAAGATGCATGTATGCACTTAAAATAAATCACTGCAGTTGGCTTCAGGCTCGCCATCTTGTTGTACCTCAGCCTCATTTCGAATTTCTTATAAAGGGTTTTTGTTCTTTGTTGCAAGGCATGAGTGTCTCATTGGGATCTGAACTCTAAACTGAATGATGAAATAATGGCAGTCCCCAATTAAACAAAGCAAGGACTCCTACCTGTTGCCCCTGCCATCTGCAGGAAAACTGATCTATGGGCAAAAGCCCTTCTATTGACATGTGCAATGCAAGGGAGGGTTTTACTGTTCCGTCCCAGGTTTCATAGGCAGAGTGGTGGTTCTTTTATAGGTAAAGGTAAAGGGGACCCCTGACCATTAGGTCCAGTCATAGCCGACTCTGGGGTTGCGACACTCATCTCGCTTCATTGGCCGAGGGAGCTGGTGTACAGCTTCCGGGTCATGTGGCCAGCATGACTAAGCCGCTTCTGGGAACCAGAGCAGCGCACGGAAACACCTTCCCGTCGGAGTGGTACCTATTTATCTACTTGCACTTTAACGTGCTTTCGAACTGCTAGGTTGGCAGGAGCAGGGACCGAGCAATGGGAGCTCACCCCATCGCGGGGATTCGAACCACTGACCTTCTGATCAGCAAGTCCTAGGCTCTGTGGTTTAACCCACAGCGCCACCCGCATCCCTTGGTTCTTTTATACTTGCATTCAAATAGCTGAGTCTTGAGGCCCTATACTCTGATATAACTGTGATGCTTTTATCTAACACGACCAATGGCAGCTCAGTAGAGGCTCAATATACACCTGCTTTTGTGACTTGCCTGGGGTTGCAAATTGGGGGAGGAGAGTAGGCAAGCATCTTAAAATGGATGGTGAGCAGCATTCAAACTTAGTGGATCTTAGGTTGTACAAACCTGGTGAAGGAGCTGGAAGTTTTACATTGTGGGTGCCCTTTGCAGGATCGCGTATGGTGCTACAGTTCCCAGGGAGCTTACTAGCAAACAGGGGCTGGCTTGCTTCTCAGTGTTAATTTTTGGAGGTTCACACCCAGCCTCAGTAGTCAAGTTTCTTGCTGGGGAGTGGGGCCAGCCCCATTTATAAA